GCTTAGAGGGAGAGGTACCGGCCCAGTAGTCTGAGTCTAGAGCCTGTGGAAGGGAATATCAGACTGTAATGATGTTCCCGCCAAAAGTAGAAGGTCGCAGAAGCTTTGGGAGGCCAAGTGGCCTGGAAGTCACTGGGCGAAGAGGCACTGGTCCGGTATATCTAGAGAGGAGGCGAAGAGTCCAGCCTCATTTGTTGGCGTGCAACTTGGACGCACGCTGCTGGAGCAACCGCGCGGCTGGAGGAGCACTGGGTGGAGGAAGGAGGCGGAGCTTCACCCCCATCCGGGTATGGTGGAGGTGACCAAGGTGGGGGTGGGAAAAGGCATAGCTACGGTGGAGGCCTAGGTAGGAAGAGGGAGGAGGAGGAGGAGGAAGAAGAAGAAGGGGCATACCTTGGCTGTGGTGGTCTGCATCTTCATCTTCTTGATTGGCGCTGCACCTGGAATGGCCCAAAGGGGTTGATACGCGGATGTAAAACTCCAGGAGTGGAACGTGGCATGGCGGACAATGTGGGAGAGAGCCTTGGTTCCTTTTTTTTTTTTTTTTCACGAAGAAGCAACAAGGCCCTTTCTATTCTGTGGGGGGCATCAATCCCATTGCTTATCACCGGCAAGCATGTTTTTTGGGACAATCTTGAATTTTCGGTAATTCCTTTTTTTTTCTTTTTTCTTTTCCGACCATTTCTTGATTTATGCATGTCATTCTTGCGAAGGGGCCATGCTACATTTCTTGATTCATGTGTTTCATTCTTGCGCAGGGGCCATGCTAATCTTCTCTGTTTCGCTCCAATTTTAAACGGATGTCCCCAAGGACATTTTCAGTAAATTCCTTATGCTGTGACATCATCAATTTGATTGCCTAAACAGAGCCAGACGTCGTTCAGTGGTGCCCGATAATGCCCATTCCATTTTATTTAAAAAGGGCAACAACCTAGAGATATTATCTTGAAACTGACCGCCCCTAGGTAATTCAGGACATTCGTTCATCTGCTCTCATCTGGATTCGAACTCAGGTCTGCATTTCAACAGTTCATGGGTGTACGAACTGAGCTAGGCCCGTTGATACGACATGTCCATCCCAGGGATCTAATCCTGCGTAATCATTTCTCGACAATTGCAAGATATCTCCTACTATCTCAGGGATCCCAGGGAAGGCCCTACACCCACGCAGAGTGACTGACTGGTACACAGATGTAACTGTTAATAAACAGCTCATGCATTTGAAGTTTGAACTTTTGAACTTTGAGCTTGAACTTAGAATCCTGATGAAATCAAGTTATCAAAAACTATTACATACAATAATTATGTTAGGCCCAGTTAGGGGGCTTTCCCTTAAAAAAAGGGAGCGCGAGTGAGGTTCAAAGACAGAAAATCCAACCATTAGAATCAGCCGGGGTAAGACTCTCGGCCTTCAACACCTCAACGATGGCAAATGCAACGGGTTCCGCTTGCTCCAATCTGATGCCGAGATCTGCACGGGAATAACAAACACAAAGAGAGGACAGATGGTGTAAGAACAAACAGCAGACGCCGCAAACCACAATGCATAAAAGAATAGTTGTGAGGTCATGAACTTATGATGAAGTTCATTATAAATTATTATTAGAACATAATAAAGATATTAAACCAAAAGCAATAAGTTGCCGTAGACAGGATGTCCTGCCTACCTACCGCGAATGACATTCGTTACAACTTGATTGCTTTTGGTTTAATATCGATATTAGGCAGAAGTCTACTATGCTGCCTATGCATGCATTACAAATTTAAAATTGATTAAATTGCACTTCATTTCAGCCGTTTTGCCGGCCTTTTTTTTTTTTTTTTTTTTTTTTTACTGTAAAATGGCTATGCTCAGATGATATCGAATAATAATAAAAAATTACATACACTCCATGATGGCATGATCTATCAGAATATTAACATGCTAATCAAAACAATGCTCTGTGTGTCCAGGCAGTATTAACCATAAATTACTCAGCCCCCTGTGGATCTTACTCTAGTTCTAACTGACAGAAACGCTGGCACCAACTGGGCTAGCTCAGGTGATACATCATCTAACTGCCGAAATACAGACCCAAGTTCAAATCCAGATACAATCAGATGACAAGAATAAAATCATTCTGACTTTACCTGGGGCCGGTCAATTCACTGATTGTATCTCAAGGCTGTTCCCCTCCCCCTCCCCTTTTTTCTTTTAAAGGGAGAGAAACACACACACACACACACACACACACACACACACACACACACACACACACACACAGTGGCTGGAACACAAGAACCGGGTGTGCCTTGTTAACCTGATGCGCAAGGGTTAACGTTCCGTTAAACCCACCGCGGTTATGACTGTTTCCAAACTTTACGATAGCAGTATGATGAGGGAATCATCTGAAACCCCTGCACCTCAATCTGAGTGGCGTATCAGTAGAAGGCTTGAGATCCTCAGCAGTCTCAAGACTGCATAGTGAGGAAGCCAAAAAACAAACAAACGCAGTGGCTTCCTCACCATGCGTTCTTGATACACATACGCCACTCAGATTGAGGTCCAGGGGTATCAAGAGAGCGTCATGATTCGTAAAACTCATGTCCGCTTCTTCATTGGAATCTATTGCTATTTTCTCCGGACACCGCTCCACAGCACACGAGTTCAAATTTTGCAAAAAGAGCGAACAAAGCCGAAATACTCGGTCCTGCCGCACTGTTCCAACTACGTTTGACAGCCATATTCCTCTCCTCTCGTCTGGCCCCACAGGCATTTTGGATATGGGAACAAACGATCACTTCTGTAGAAAATATTCCCCCTGCGGCTTGTTACCCTGACCTATGCGGTTCTTCTCATGCAATGTTCCCACTGAGTTCCCCAAGAATACAACGCCCATGCCCTTATTACTGCGGGTTGTGCTATGTCTGTGCCTAGAAAGTGTGACCCTGGCAATACTACCCAACCAGGTTCATGCTTTCTAAGCACGAACATTGCCCCAGTGGGAACTACCCTTCAGTGCCAGGGCCCAAGACCCTCGAAGGCAGAAGCAATTGTCGAGACGGCGATGGCCAACTTGAGATCTCAGGCATCGGATTTCGTTACATAGACGAAAGTACAGCCCCATAGGGCACTCTGTCTTATACCGCAAGTACACGGCCCCATCCTTGCATAAAGTTTTTGTTGCCATAAAGCAAAAATCAGAGGGGCCGCGTGTCGCGGCGCGCCGTTGGAAAAAAAAATTGGCGGCCTCCGAAGTGGTGCAGGTTGCATGCTGACGTCCGCGGGCCGATGTATGGTGCAATGGTGCTTTAATGTACTTGTGAGCAAGTCTACAGGCCCCAAGAGGAAAGTAAACTGCAACAGGCCATCGGTTAAGAGTCTGCTTTCCTAACGGAAAACTGAACTTCTCATCCATGTACCTCTATTGACTCCCCCCAAAAGGAGAACATCACAACAAATGCAACTCGTCGGCATCTGGGAGTCTGCAGATCCACTAGCATGTGCTCCCCATTCTCTCTCTCTCTCTCTCTCTCTCTCTCTCTCTCTCTCTCTCTCTCTCTCTCTCTCTCTCTCTCTCTCTCTCTCCCCCCCCCCCCCCCCCCCCCCCCCCCCCCCCCCCCCCCCCCCCCAGTTCCTTCCCCTCTCCCCCCCCCTCCCGCTTTCCCCCCCCGCCGCTCCCCATTCTCTCTCTCTCTCTCTCTCTCTCTCTCTCTCTCTCTCTCTCTCTCTCTCTCTCTCTCTCTCTCTCTCCTGTCTCTTATACACATCTAGATGTGTATAAGAGACAGCCCCCGCACCTTCCCAGCTACGGACAGTTTACTTCAACTTCATCCAACTCAAAGCATGGATCTGATTTGCTCTGCGCACAGATTTGAGTTAAGGACATTTTGACGTCACTGACAATGAATGTGGTCCATACTTGCGGCGCATCACGTGCGGCGCAGATCGCACGCACACACATGCGCGTGCACGTGATGCGGCACACCCCATAAATCAAGGGTCGGTAAACAATTACAAGAAGGGCAGGGTTTCATGGCCAAACGTGCCCCTCCCTTTAAAAAATTTAAAGAGCAGAAGAGAAAACATATTGGGGCCACGTCGTGCCCACAAACTGTGTGTGCATGTGTGTGTGTGGGTGTGCATATCCTAATTGGATTGTCTTTTTACGGAGAGGCCCCTGCAAAATCATTCACAAGGCCTCATCTCCACACAGAGTAGGTCGTCGAAGAGTGAGAATGGCGTGAGCAGGCCAAGAATATATGGTCTGTATTTGAATTCAGATCTGTGTTTCAGCAGTTCCGGGTTACGAACTCAGATAGGCCCTGCTGGTCTCTGCACGTGATTCTCCTTTTTTTCATTTTCCTTTTCTTATGAATACCACTGACCACGTGCACAAAAGACAAAACGTATGGCGGCATATGGTTCCATGTTCTAGGGGAAGATTTCATTTTAGCACATTTGGCGAGTCCTGAGAATCACGTGCAGAGACCAACAGGGCCCAGCTAAGTTCGTGACCCATAACTGCTGAAACACAGACCTGAATTCGAATGCGGACCACATATTCTTGGCCCGCTCCCACTCTTCTGCAGATTCTCTGCTTGAGGGTGCAACCTTACTGAGGTACTGGAATGACCCCTCGGTTTCTCTGCAGGGGCCCTCTAATTTATGAAGAAGGGGCACTTTACTCTCTCTCTCTCTCTCTCTCTCTCTCTCTCTCTCTCTCTCTCTCTCTCTCTCTCTCTCTCTCTCTCTCGTGCGCGCGCGCGCATACACACATACACCCCGCCCCCCCCCAAAAAAAAAGAAAAAAGAACGTGCATCTTCATCCCAACACAAATTTGATATTTCCGCATCCCGCATGGAGCACACCACCGCACGGTGCACCGCACAAATACGCCGCAAGTACGATGTGGTCAGATCCATGGAACATACATGACTTCGACAAATATAGATGGGTGACATATGTACATTGCATGAGGCCAGATTATGAGGTCAGAAAATGCTGTGAACTTTCTGGGCCTCATGCACCTTACATGGGGGGGAAGACCCCCCTCCCCCTCCTCACCCCTAGTTCTGGGGTCATGCGCAATAAGTGACATGGCTGCCCACACATATCATGTTATGAGAGCAGACCTCCACGTTTGGGATCACCTCGATCCACACCACCCGGTCTCATGTATGTCCCACATCAGACCAGTCGGTGGAAGGTGGAACCATGGGTGGATGTTCCAACCAGAAGTCCCAACCAGAAGTAAAGGGACACTGCAGTAATGTAAAATTACTTGAAAAGGAGGGGGTAAGGGAGACATCTGCTCCTCTTTCTATTCAAGCTCTGTGCTGAAACGTGCAAGGAACATGAGTATGGACGAAGCACAGAAATCCAGAATGCAAAATCACACTGAAGTCCAAGTATTCAAAGCCAAAGCAGATAGCACATGGA